GAGAGAGAGAGAGAGAGAAACAGAGAAACAGAGAAGAAGAAGAAAGAAAGACAGAGAGAAAGAGAGAGATTAAGAAAGACGAGAAAAAAAGAGAGAGAAAAAGAGACGAGCGAAGAGAGAGAAAAAAAGAAAGAAAGACAGAGAGAGACGAGAAAAGAGAGAGAGAGAGAGAAAGAGAGAGAGAGAGAGAGAGAGAGAGAGAGAGAGAGAAACAGAGAAACAGAGAAGAAGAAGAAAGAAAGACAGAGAGAAAGAGAGAGATTAAGAAAGACGAGAAGAGAAGAGAGAGAAAAAGAGACGAGCGAAGAGAGAGAAAAAAAGAAAGAAAGACAGAGAGAGAGACAAGAGAAGAGAGAGAGAGAGAGAGAGAGAGAGAAGAGAGTTGACGCCACGCTTAAAGTATCGAGCGTGACTTTCTATCTCTGTCATCGGCACAAGCGACTCAGCGAGCGAGCAGGCAGGCAGTCGGCAGCGAGAGCACGTGGGAGTAAGGGGTGAACCTCCCGAGAGAGAGAGAGAGAAAGAGAGAGAGAGAGAGAGAGAGAGAGAGAGAGAGAGAGTGTTGAGTGCGTGTCTTGTTCATGTTTGTTTTTTTGGGGGGGGCTCCACGTGCGTGCGTGTGTGTGTGGAATTGTGTGTCACTGTTGCGTTTGTACGTGTGCGTGTGCGATTGCGTGTGTGTGTGTGTGTGTGTGTGTGTGTAGATATGTGTGTCTTTGGGTGGGTGTATGTACGGGTATGTGAGCGTGTGTGTATTTGTATCTGCGTGTCTTCATGCGTGTGCATATACATGTGTGTGTTTGGATCTGTGTCTCCATCTGCGTGTATACGAGTGTGTGTGTATTAGGATCTGTGTCTCCGACTGTGTGTGTATTAGGATCTGTGTCTCCGACTGTGTGTACACACGTGCGCTTATAACAAGCGCGCGTGTGCGTGTGTGGCTCCGCGTATGTGCGTGTGCGTAGGTGTGGGCGTGTGCGTGGAGGCGGTACTCTCCCACACACGACCCTCCCCTGTGCGTTTTCTCTTCTCGTGTCGGAACAGAAGGGGTATTTCGCCCGCCAGGGAGGGAGTCCACAAGGAGGAATGGCCGAAGGAGGACGTGGCCATCGCTACCTCTTCAGCCTCGAGGAAGAAGAAGAAGGAAGAAAAAAAAAAAACCTCGAGAAGTTTTAAGTGTGTCTTTCTCTTTTTAATTCGGGGAAAGATTAAGTGTGTGGATTTCGAAGATCGAGTGTGTGATTATATATATCTTTTTAATTCTATTTTCGTTCGTCTTAGAAGTTCGGTGAAAATTTCGAAGACTGAGTGTATATAAATATATATTCGTTCGTCTAAGAAGAAACTTTTGAAGGAACTCAAGAACAGAAGAGGTGCAAGATTACGATGTCTTTCATTGTAAATAACTTTTTTTTTACGAGAATAACTGTGCTTTTAGGATGTTTAGTGACTGGAATCTGCAGTAACTATAGAGCGGAAATCCTGTAATCTGTGCTTGATATTTTGTGCAAATGCAAGAAAAATCTAAAACTGAAGTTCTTGAAGCGGCGAGAATTAGTGTTGGATTTGTGATGTTTTTTAAAATTTATTGATTTATTTTTTTTCAGTTTAAGAAATAATTGAAAAAGAAAGAGAAACATTTGTCATATACTACTAGAATGTGAAAAAAATAGACACAAAACACATAAAAACGGAAAACAGAGAAAAAAAACTCGTTTACAATAGAAGAAACAAAGAAAAAGAAAAAGAAAGAAAAAGAAAAACAAACGAACTAAAACAAATAAGAAAAAAAAACATATCCCCAGAAAACAAAAAACCCAAATTCAAAATCAACCAAAATAATAATAATAATAATAAATAAATAAACAAATAAAATAGATAAATAAATAAAAAAAAACAGTTAAAAAATAAATCCAGGGGAAAAAAGTCCGGGAAAAAACCTCCAACCCTGAAGTATGTCAACCTCATGGGTCGGAACTGTGAACATTGATGTCGAGCGTGTGAGAGCTCTCGTCATTACAGTGTACATTCGACGTACATTACACTGAGTCCATGGGTGCTCGGAGACTCGTCTGTTGCTGATCCAGACTTGGTTTTATCTCTCGTTGGTTGTGGTTGTGGGTTGTGGGTTGTGGTTGTTGTTGCTGGTGATCTTTTTTCTTGTTTTATTTTGTTAATTTGTCTCTTTTATTGTTTGTTTGTTTGTTTGCTTTAACTTTGTTGGCGTTTTTGGTTATTTTGTCAGTTTGTTGTTCTTGTTCTCGTTCTTATTCCTGTTGTTCGTGCTGCTGGTAAATCGGATTTTGTTTTCTTTCTGTTTTATTACGTTTTTTCTGTGTTTCTTTTATTTTGCTATTGCTAGTTCATCGGATATTTATCCATCGTTTTTATTTTTGTCCTTCTTTGTAGGTTTCTGTTATTTTATTTTGGCGGTTTCTTTCTCGTCTTTTTCTTTATTTGTGTATCTATTTCTATATCTTTATCTATTTTCTTTTTCTATTTTTATTTGTTTGTTTAGGTTCCTTTTCCGTTTTTTGTTTTCGTCGCGTTCGTGCAGTTCAGTCGACGCGTCATCCATAAACCCCAAGAATTTGAACCTTAAAGAACACCAGTGGACACCCAATAGACTCCTAAATCTGAACCCTGAATAACACGTCATCATTACGTCATCAATAAACCCCTAGATTTGAACCCTTGTAGAACACGACGGAACACCAAGACGTCATCAATAAAACCCTCAACTTGAACCCTTATAGAACACGAGAGGACACCGACACGTCATCCATAAACCCCTCAACCTGAACCCTTTTGAACACCAGCCAGTGAACGCCGACAGCAAAAGCAACACCACCGGCCTCCTTAGATCGTGGAATGTCAAATTTACTCACGTTCACCCGCGCCGTTCGCCGATGTTGCAGCAATTAACTTTCACGTGCACGATCTTGCAGCGTGTCCCTTTGCAGCGCCCTATATAGAGAAGCAAAGGGAATTGGTAGTCTGACAACGGAGATCTTTATTACCTAACAGCAGAATCGTCTCTCTGACAACACAGGCGGAGGCAAATGCCGATAAATTCTCTCTGTGACAACACGTTTTCCCTCCTGTGACACCCTCATCCTTTGAAGAAAAGAATAAGTCTGACATCAACAGCATATCAACTTGACATCACTGACAACGCGGTCCCTACCCTGCGAGCTGAGAGGAGAGAGTCTTGACAACGACATAGACAAACGAAATCTCTCTTGACAGCATATCAGTGGCCATAGCATAGCATGCTGTATTTCGTGCCGTGCGAATGATGCACTGGTCGACGAAGGCATCTTTAGGATAATAGAAAACGTCTGGAAGTGTTATTTGTTATTGTTATTATCATTATTCGTTAGATAACGTACGGAGAATAAGTACAAGATGCGGCTAAGCGCTCTCGTCGTGTTTGCGCTCACCTGCGCGTATTTGCAGGTGAGTTTTTGCCTCGCGGCGCTCCTTCCCTCTCAGGGTGTCAACAAAGCCCAAGAATCGCTGATCAGATCTCGCATGCTACAGGGTGTCGAGCTTCAGGATCTAGCGAGAATAGATACAAACAGAAGGAGGAATGACTACCTCGCTGTCTTGCTCTATCTGCAATACCTCGAGTCGTTAAAGTCCCGAGCAAGCACGCGAGACGTCTCAATCCAACAAAACGAGGCTTCGGATCCCCGCAAAAACGCAGTCGAACCCGCTACACAGAATCCCATTGGAAAGCTAGGTCACGCCCGCCGTTCCCACGCTACGCCAACCCGCTCAGACAAGAAGGGCAACCACCACGAGAGACTCATCAACATTGCAACCCACCCGGTGCACTCCTCCGCGGACCGGACACGCCCCTCTCCCCGCGTTTCACAGCCTCCAGCGGCAGCGCATCTCCGGAACGCCACCCTCCTGACGGCAGACATCCGGTCGCGGAACGCCCCCTTCCACCTGCGCGTCGTTCCCCCTCGCTTCCTCCTCAGGCAGGAAATCCCCGAGGGCAAAAAGGATGAAGGGAAAAAGAGGCACGCGGAGAAGACCCAGATAGGAAAGACACGCGGAGAGGAGGAGGAAATGCCAGCGGAGGGGACACGCTTACGAAAGACACGCGAGGAAGAGACACAGGCCGAGGGGACACACTTAGAAAGGACAACAGCCGGTGCTGAGAGGAAGCACGCGGCGGAGAAGACCCAGGGAGAAGAGACACGCGGAGGGAAACGCACACGCGCCGCTGGCATACACGCAGAAGAGGCGCTAAAAAAGAAAAACACACACGAAGCAGAAAAACAGGTCGCGGATCTCCACCAGTCCAGGGGCGTTTCGAGCGACCCCGTTTCAGGGAGAGGGACCCGGGCGGTGGCGACGTCCAGGCAGTTCAGCGGGCCGCCCTTCGACCTCCTGCCGAGGCTGCTCGCGGCCCTCGACAACCCGGCCGTCGTCGTGCTGCTCCTCATCCTCAACGTGAGTGGTCCTTGAACTCTAGCTGATAAGGATAAGGGCGTAAAACGTATTTATTAAAATGTAGATAGTAACTATCATTATTCATATATCACGCTTTGCTAAAAGAAAAAAATCATATATATATATATATAGAGAGAGAGAGAGAGAGAGAGAGAGAGAGAGAGAGAGAGAGAGAGAGAATAGTAGAAATAGTAGTTATGAATTTAACTTCAAGGAAGATAATTAAACCTAGGTGATGCTCATAATGGTAAGTTTACGATTTAGGTGATATGAAGAATTTGTGGATAATGAAATGCGTTTTATTGTGGTTGAGTTTTGTGGATCGTAAATGTGTAAATGAGCATCTTATACGTGACCATAAATCGCAAAGATTGCATTTTGAAATTGCAAATGTTATTTATATCATCCCTGTTGTAGAATTTGTGGCCTTTTATTAATAACTTTGCTCTTTTTTTGCAGAGTTATTACCTACGTAATCTGTTAATAAAAAAGTGTTAATTAAGATGCTAACCAGTATGATTACAAAATAAAATAAAAAATATATCCATCGCGACATTTTGTATTCACGAGCAAGTACCATTACTTTCATTAAGAGGTTTACGGGTGGCAGTTACTAATTGTATTTGCTTATTAATGTGACTTTAATTATCTTCGCCAATGCTGTTCCGCCCTAAATGCGGGACTGACTCACCTCTTGTCCTTTCTGCCTTTGTTCGCTCTTT